CCCAGCCTAGGGCTGGGAACCCTCCTGCCCCAGGACAGGCCATTTCTCATTCTTCTTCACACCTTCCTGACTCCTGGGCCCAGTGGGGCCTGGCCCCCAGCTGGTATGCAATAAAGGTTTGTTAGGTGGAAGAATTAGTAAGTAAATGGTTCTTTGGTGGCAGTTTTGCTCATCAAATGGGCTTCAGCACCTGGACCAGAGGGACAGTATCTTCCCAGAGGGACCAGCACAGGGCTAGTGCTTAACAAGGGATCTGGTGGTTAAGTGGGCCCTGCCCTTGAGTAGAGCTGAGCAATCAAATCTTGCCCCACTCAGGATCACCCTTGTCCCCAGCACAAAGGCATACATACTCCACAACTCCAGGCTTTCACTCCCCCTGAGGACACTGGGTGTGTGTATGCATAAGAGAGAGAGAGAGAGAGTTTCTGGGAGAGTCCTGGTTGTTGATGCCAACGTGTCTGGGAACAAAGACCTGGCCCTTAGGATCAGAGGGTGAGGAGAAGTCTGCACCAGCAGGTGCCACACTGAAGGAGGGGGCTCCAGAAGCTTCCCCAACCCTTATTAGGAAACACTCTTTCCAGAGCTCCCTAAAGCCCTAATCATCCTCTTGGTGACTCTTAAGAGACAGAATGGACAGTCAAATGAGATGAAGAGCTGGGAGGGCCACCCTTTCCCTTTGCCAGCTTTTACTGGACCTAAAACCCCATCAGTTCTGAGCCACTATTTGAGTTAAGCATTGCCCTCTCCCTAAATCCTCTTTTAAAAGGTAAAGAACGTTCCCTGCGGGGGCCGACCAAGAAATTCTCTAATCGCCAGCTAAGACGGGGACAGGGCGGCTAGAGGTCAGAGTGGGGAGAAGGGCGCTGAGAGGAGAAGAGGGTCCGGGAAGAGGAAGCTCCTGACTTCTCCACTTGATCCTTGGAGGCCAACTGTGACCCGAGGGTGCGTGCCCCTCCACCATCCCCAGAGTGGAGGGTCAGGGCCTGAGGAGCTTCTGGCAGCCCCTCAGCTGGCGCTGCTCCTGGTGCCAGGAGAATGTTGTCAGCTGCACAAGGCTGACTCAAGGTGAAGCAAGAGCCTCTTTCACAGATGTGAAAGAGGAGCAGAGCCAGCTGTGCCGGCTTGAGCCTGGTGAGGACCCAGCCTTGCCTGAGACCCTGACCTCTGGGTAAGGCCTGCTCCTGTCATTCCGTTCCAAAATAGAAATGTCCCCTGTATAACGGACAATGCAAAACACAATAAAACTCCCTTCTATGACTGTCTGAAATTCCACCGTTAGTCATATATTACTTTGGGGTAAGCATTGCCCTTCTGTGGTAGGCTGCATAATGGTCCCCAGAAGACGTCCAGGTCCTAATCTCTGGAATTATGTTACCTTACATGGTAAAAAGGACTTTGCAGATGTGATGCAGTTAAGGATGCTGCAGTGGGAGATTATCCTGGATTATCCAGGTGGGGCCCAATGTAATCACAAGGGTCCTTTTAAGGAGGCAGAAGGGTCAGTTAGAGAGAGGGCGATGTGCACATTGCCCTGGGAAGGCGACACACAAAGAACTTGAGATTTCAGCCTGAAATCATTTCTGAGACGCCCTCCTCCCCAACCCCCTTGTTAGAGTCAGGGGACCTTCAACCTGCTGGCTCTGAGCCTCTGAGGGAACATGGTGGGGATAGAGCAGACAGAGTATAAGGGGACAGAAGTGAGAGCAAGAACTGAGGCAGAACTTGCTTCATTCTGCATCCTTGGGCCAGCCTTGGTTCATCACCTGGATTCCCGACTCCACCATCCTTCTGGCCTCCTTTCCCAGGGTCATCTTGTCTAGACTTTGCCTTCGGGTAGCTGAGTGTCTCATCTACTGCTGTTTCAAGGGACTACCAATGCAGCCACCTGACTTTTAGTAGTAGCTGTAGAGATTGTCCTCTCAGGTGGCACTCCCAGAATCCTCTGCTCCAGCCACCTTCTTAAACTCTGCTGACCAGAGAGGCTGAGTCACTGGGAGAAAGGTTCTCTCAGGTTTTCTGAGTTTGAGTATAAATACTAGAGATTTATTAATCATAACAAAGAGGAGGAGGAGGATCAGAGTAAAGGCAGTAGTGATTATAGAATAAGGCAGGGTATAAACATGTATAAATAAGTAAATAAATACTAGATGCCATGCCATAGCTTCCTGTGCACTATTCTGTTCAGTCATTCCAATTGGGAAGTTTTAGTATCTATATTTGATGGATAAGGAACTGAGGAACAGAGAGTTTGTGACTTTCAAAAGGTCACACAGCTAGTTAGTGACAGGGCTGTAGTTTCAGCCCAGATCTGATTACAGAGTCCATGCCTTCAACTACCACACTATTCTACCTCCTAAAGAATATTTTAAACTAACAATGTGCCCACTGATGTCTCATTTTTAATCAAGCAATAGTTTTCTAGGGATGGGAAGGGTTGGGGCAAGTGGGAGAAGGATGGGAGGAGAGGTATGGGGGAGGGACCTGCGATGTGAATGAGGGGCCTGCCAACTTGTCACCTCTAATCAAGGGGACTTAATAGAAGTGGCATCCTGAGGGATGTTCTGATACCTTAATCAGAACATAAGAAGCTTTGGATTTACCATTGCCTCTTAGAATCGAACTTGAATTGTACTGTCTTTTCCAAGTGTTTTATTTTTGACCAACTTTATGCCTTCTTGCTGATTTTCTCAAATGGTTTTGCATTTCCCACAAGTTATTCAGAGCAAGTTTTAAGGCCAAAGAATATTTTTAATGTGATTTCAAGTTGGCAGGCATCAAGGCTTAGTCGAAAACACCCTGGGGCTGGATGAGCTTCAGCAGGCCTGGGTTTTAGTCCCAAACTTGCTGCTCAGGCTGTGCAGGCATGCAGAAGTCCTCGCTACATGTTCAGATAAGGTGTCTGGGTTGAAGCCGTGAGAGAGGTGGAAGATTTTGTTTGTTTGTTACGGCCTCAGCTCCAGGTCCAGCCCTGTTTGCTGGGTGGTGAGGGCTGAGAGGTTTTGATTCTGTGGTAATTGCCACAGGTCTTTGCACGGGGCCAGCTGGGAAGGGCAGCATCTTGGCTTGTGACCTCCGCTTGCTTGAGTCAGGGCAGCTCCAGTAACTGCCCTCGATCCCTGTGGGCCTTCAGAGGGTAGGCCCAGGGTGTCTGGAGACAGCTCTGATCCCAACCTGCTCACTCCCCAAAGGAGGAAAAACTGACATAGAGTACAGATTGTCAGAGCAGAAAGGGGCCCAGACTGGCTGGTTCTCGGGGTCACACACACTAGCCATGGGCCCGTTATATTGAATAAGAATCCCCAGAGATATTGGCATAAAAACAGACACATGGATCACTGGAACAGAATAGAGAGCCCAGAAATAAATGCACACATAGATGGCCAATTGATTTATAACCAAGGATCCAAGAATATACACGGGGAAAGGACAGTCTCTTCAATAAATGGTGTTGGGAGAAGTGGACATGCAACAGAATGAAACTGGACAACCATCTTACACCATACACAAAAGTGAACTCAAAATGGACTAAAGACTGGAACGTAAGATCTGAAACCACAAAACTCCTAGAATAAAACACAGGCGTAAGCTCCTTGACATCAGTGTTGGTGATGATCTTTGTAATCTGACACCAAAAACAAAAGCAAAAGTAAACATGTAGGACTACATCAAACTAAAAAGCTTCTGCACAGCAAAGGAAACTATCAATAGAATGAAAACGCAGCCTATGGGATGGGAGAAATATTTGCAAATCATGTATCTGATAAGGAGCTAATATCCAAAATATATAAAGAATTCATACAACTCAACAGCATAAAACCAAACAGCTCGATTAAAAAATGGGCAGAAAATCTGAATAGACATTTTTCCAAAGAAGACATACAGATACCCAAAAGCTACATGAAAAGATTAATCATCAGGGAAATGTTAAAGGTCCCAGGCCCCACTCCTGGATAATCTGATTCAGAACGACCAGCTTGGCAGCCCCTAGGAATCTGTTTTGGTTTTATAAGAAGCTCTCCGGGGATTCTTTTTTTTTTTTTTTTTTTTTTAGGAACCTCAGGGAAATGCAAATCAAAACCACAACGTGATATCACCTCATACTGTTTGAATAGCTATTATCAAAAACACAAGAAATAACAGGTGTTGGCAAGGATGTGGAGAAAAGGGAATGCTTATGCACTGTTAGTGGGAATGTAGATTAGTGCTGCCAGTATGGAAAACAGTATGGAGGTTCCTCAAAAAATTAAAAATAGAGCTACTATATGATCCAGCAATTCCACTTCTGTGTATTTATCCAAAGAAAAGAAAAGAAAAACACAATCTCAAAAAGATATATGCACCCCCCTGTTCACTGCAGCATTATTTACAATAGCCAAGACATGAAAACAACCTAAGTGTCCATGGATGGATGAAGGAATAAAGAAATTGTGGAATATTATTCAGCCATAAAAAAATAATGAAATCTTGCCATTTGCAACAATACGGATGGACCTTGGGGGCATTATGCTAAGTGAAATAAGTCAGGCAGAGAAAGACAAATACTGTATGATCTTTCTTATATATGGAATCTAAAAAACAAAAACAAACCAAGCTCATGGATACAGAGAAGAGATTAGTGGTTGCCAGAGGCAGGAGTTGGGGAGTGGGAGAAATGGGTGACGGGGCAACAACAGCAACAACAACAACAAAAGAAATTAAAAAAAAAAAAAAAAGAATCCCCGGAGAGCTTCTTATAAAACCAAAACAGATTCCTAGGGGCTGCTAAGCTGGTCGTTCTGAATCAGATTATCCAGGAGTGGGGCCTGGGACCTTTAACAAACTTCCCAGGGAATTCTTATGGATAGCAGCCAGGTCCAATCTCTCCACTTTTCCTGGGGAAACTGAGGCCCAAAGAGGCCTTGAGCTAGTCATCAGCAGAGCCAAAATCAGAAATTAGGTCTTCTGACCTGCAGTAAGATGTTCTTTCCACACCAAGACCAGGAGCCTACAGGACCCAAAAGAACTGCCCATTATTTATTTATTTTAATTTTCTTAAAATCAAAGTTACTAATGCACACAGTTTAAAGAGTCAACTACAGGTAGTTTTACAAGGCTTCTTTGAAAAAACACAAGCTCTTCATCCACACTCCCCCATCTGCCCTTCCCCACAGGCAACCACTTTCAACTCTTTCAGCTGAGTCTTTTGGTATTGAAAGAACAAGAATGTCACCCCAAAATATGCCTCACTGACATAAAAATTATTTTGAACAAAGGCAATTAAGAAGCAGCAAATGCAGGAAAAGCTCTCTGTACCCTCCCCTTTTCTGCCTAAAAGCAGGATGTAAATTTTCCTTTTCTGGAGACATTCTTACCAGCCCAGAGAGGCACCAGAGGAGTCTGCAAAGGAACCTTACTCCACCAGTTCCCACCCCTGTGTTTACCTTCACACCGTCTGCCATGCTTGGAACCTAAAACTGTTTTCTTTTGTCCTAGCATTTCTCTACAACCTTACTGTTCTTTGTTGAAGATGCTATATAAGCTGGAGTTCTAAACTGCTGCTTCAAGTTATTTTTCATTGGGGTTTCTCCCGCATAATATGTACTGCATGCATTAATTGTTTTTCTCTTGTTAACCTGTCTTTTTGTTAAAGAGCCCCAGCTGGAAACCTCAGATGGGTAAATTTGGCCTCCCCTGTGTATTTACGCACACCCTTGGCATCGTTTGCATTTTTACAACGAGCATGCATTGCTTTGTCATTCTTATGTGGTCTTAATAATGCAGTTAGAATGGATTGCCAGGTCTGGCACAGGACTGGGAGGCATGGGCATTGCGGAGGCCCCAGGGGTCACTGGGCGCAGGCCACCAGCTCCTCCAGGGCTGGCTCGCGGCGGTTGCTGTGGACCAGCAGCACCTCCTTGATCCGGTCCTGCTGGAAGCCCATGTCGCTGAACTGTTCCCAGAGGCGCAGGAACTCCCCTGCCTGAGGAAGCGGAGGCAGAGAGGGCGCTGGAGACTCTGCCCTGGGCAGCCCCTCCCTTGTGCCCACTGTATCTACTCCCAGAAAGCTGTGGTTCCCCTGAGGCCAGGTGAGCCCGATCCTGGGCAGCACCTGCGTTTTTCCTGTCCCTCTGGGGTGACATGAGCTCGGACCTCCCTTCCTGTGCCAAGAAAGGAGGCCCCCGCCTGGCCGCTGGCTCCGTCCAGACCTTACTCCCTCACTTCAGCTCACTCCTGACTTCCTGTGCTTGGGCGCTGGGGCAGGAACAGGAAGGCTGAATACTGGTGCCCAGAGGATGCACAGCCTCGGGTCTCTGCCCAGGCCCCCAATCCTGCCCAGTTTTCACACAGCGTAGCCTCCGCCTTCCTTCTTCCTCTGACGCCAGCGCTTGAAACTTCCCTGCTTCTCCTCCCTCCTTCCTCGTCACCATCTCTCCCAACCCTCCGTCCCTCCCTCAGCCTCTGTGAAGGGCTGCTCTGCCAAGCCTGGGCCAACTGCGGATTGTGGACAGGTCATATCCATCAGGCACTTAGAATGCACTACTGGGCCCACAGCTGCCTGCACTCTGGGTTGCCAGGTAGGTAGCGAAGTCCCTGAACAGAGAGTTCAAGCATCTTTGTGCTGCTCGTGGCTCCTACCTGGGTGTCTGACAGAGTGGACATTCAGTAATGTTTGTTGTGTTGATTCACTTCGATAGCACAAAAGCCTTGCCTCCTGTTTCCCTCCCCACCTCTTCCCCGCACCCTCCCCATGCTTCATCTCCCTGGGCCGTCTCCTTCTCCCTAGGGCTGAGCAAGCAGGCTATCTCCTGATGGCCCCCAGGCTGGCTCTGGCACTGGTGCACCGCTGCACACCAGGCTCTTGTGTGCACCCCATCCCTCCCTGCCTGGGGCCCGGGCAGGTGGCCCTGCTGACCTGGCTCTCAGAGAACTGGAACATCTCCATGGCCTCCTCCACCAGGTCCTCCTCATAGCCCTGCTGCAGCAGCCGGTCACAGGCGCTGAGGTAGCTGAGAACCTGGGCCGGAAAGGGGCAGAGAGGGAGGGGTGGTAAGAGGAGTGGCAGGGGCAGCCGATGGGGTGGGGGAGGCACCCCGAGGGCCTCATCAAGGCCTGAGCTCAGGCCAGGCTGACTAGGCAACCCACCACACACAACATGGCCCCAGAGACCCCGTGAGCCAATAGAAGAGGGACAGAGGCCTCCTCTGGGGACAGGCAGATAGCAAGTTCTCACCAACTGTCCTAAACTAGGGGCTGGAATTAGGAAAAGGGCTGTCAAGGTGAGCTAAGGTGTTCCCAGAACCTAAGTGGGGAGTGGGACAGGCCTGAAACACAGGGGTCTCACCCCCACCCACCCCAGCCTGCTCACCCTCCCTGGTGAGCACCTACCTGTGTGAAGGTGCCTCCTCACCCATCCACACCTGTGCACCCCCACCCCACCCCCAGACACATACTTCCCTGCCATCCAGGACTCGTGAGCCCCTACTAGGCAACAGTCCTGCACCCATGCTAGAAAGGGCCAGGGCATAGACGAGGATCCCACAGCCTGGAAACCTGTTCCAGTCACTCCCAGTGTGGTTGTTAGGGGCTCTGCCCTCAGGATGAAGAGCCACCTCCTCACCAGGGCGCACAGGCTGCTCCTGCCCCTGTCAGGAGCCTCTGCTCCTCTTCAGTCCTCCCAGGTCTCAGCATATCCACTCCCTCGGCCAAGGCCAGCCTCACCCCTCTTCCCTGGGGAGCCTCTCTGCCCCCTGTCTCCACTGGGTGCTGTGCCTCGTGCTCCGATAGCACCCTATACTTCCCCTATCACAGCACATACAACTTTGTAATTGCTCTAACTGGCTCTCTCATCCACTTGTTGCTAATCTTTCTCTCTCTTTTTTTTTCTTTTTTTGCTTGAGGAAGGTTAGCTATTTTGTATGTGTGTCGCTGCCACAGCATAGCTGACAAGTGGTGTATGTCCGCACCCAGGATCCGAACCTGCAAACCCCGGGCCGCCAAAGCAGAGCGTGCTGAACTTAAGCATTACGCCACAGGGCCGGCCCCCTAACTTTTTGCTCCCCGAGGGAAGGGTTGTGTCAATCTTGTTCACCACTGTATCCCCAACACCCAGCATGGCAGGTGGAAGGAGCTCAATAAATGTATGCTGTGTTTATAAAGTGAATTAAGAACTACCTTCAAGGAGCTCAGAGCTTAGTGGGGGAGATAAAACAGATACAGGAAAACATGAGTACCAGGCAAATCAAAGCAGGATTTATAGGGAGTCAGCTCCAAATGAAGGCTCAGACCATAAGAATTATGGGTGTAAGTGGAGAAGAAACAGATTGGGTTTCCACAGACCTTCAGAGCTGGGCAGAAAGCATGGATCACATAGACTAATGGTTTTCAAACTGTTTTGGCTTCTGAACTGTCCAAACACCAGGAGGCTTCCACACTAACAGGAAGGTCGGAGCTGCTCTGGGAGAACTGGGCTCAGGGGCAGGGATCCCAGAGTCCAGCGCTCCCACCCCAGGACACCTAGACCTCGCTCTGAGCACATTTGGAAAACCACCCAGCCAAGCCCTCCTGGTGCACTTGAGGAAACTGAGGTCCAGGCAGGGTGGGGGGCTTGCCCAGGGGTCCAGGACTAGGGCCTAGACCACCTGACCTCTTAGCCCCTGCCTTGTCCCTCAGAGAGATGCTAGGGCTTTGAGACGGCTTGAAAGTAGACAGAGTTCTGAAGTTGAAAACAGGAGCAGGGGCAAGGGCAGATGGGAGAGGCCCCCATCACCTCTTGGTTCATCCATAGCAAAGGTTCTCGGCCGCGGCGCTGACTGCAGCTACCTGGGAGCTGTAAAAGCACTACACATAAACCACTGATGCCTGCCTCCAGAGGCTCGGATTTATAAGTGGTCTGGGGGGGCAGCCTGGGCACCGGGGTTGTTATAGCTCTCCGAGTGATTCTAATGTGTAGCCAAAGCTGAGTACCACCCACTCAAGGGACGGCCGACCTCAATCCATACCAGTGGATCCCATGCCAGGTTGCATATCAGAACCCCCTGCAGATCTTTTAAAATGACAGGCCCTTGGGCACGACCCAGATCCACTGACTGGAACCCTCGAGCAGATCCTGGGAATCTGCATTTGTCAAGATTCTGCTGCTTGGTCAGCTTTTAGACCTATGGGACTGTAGAAGCCAGCAGGCCTGCCTGTGCCCCAGGGTGGGTGAGGATGTCACCTTCAGACCCCAGGATGGGGCCCTAGAAGTCATCGATGACAAACACATATTCCCCTTCCATTCTGTGAATAGGGAAAGTGAGACTCAAAAAGGGGCCCTGATACGCCTGGAGTCCCACAGCAAATCTGGGCCTGGCCTATGGACCTTCTCACATGCCACCCATGTATGTCCTGCAGGTGGTCAGTGGGCACATTGATCATTGTGAAAGGAAGGAAGGAGTGATGGGCAAAGCTTATCTTTTGTATCTCCTCCTTTCTCCCCAGCTCTTCCAAGTGCCCTGTCTCCATTACCTGATGCCTTCCCTCCTAGATCATCTGCCGTTTATCTCTGGACAAAAAGGGTTTACTGTAGTGTACATGTTTCAAGGGGAGAAGGAATCTGAACCCAAAGGAGTTGCTGAGTTAATGGTGAAACTTCACGGACTACAGGGAATCCTAACTTGATGGGGAAGATAGATGAAGTCATCCAATGGCCCCCTCAGAGCCTGGCTCCTGACTGCCCAGCGGGGAAGAAGGTCACCTAGAGATCTGGCAGGCCAGGCAGGTGGTCAGTGTACATCTAGAAACACAGCTTTCCTGATGCCATGGGACTCTTCCAGCCCACTCACAGGGAGGCCCGTGCCCATGCCTGCTCCAACTAATCTTCAGCCCTCCACAGTGGTGGCCTGAGATCTCAGCCTTGTCACAGGACCTAGAGGGATTGGGGGGCATGTCAGAGCCCCTACCATGGACCTGGTCCCTCACAGTCCTCCTGGCCAGCTTCTTGGCCAAGATCCTGGCTTCCAGCAGCAGCTGAAAGTGGGGGCAACTTTAGATCTACTCTTAAACCTCAGATCAGCCTGGGGCGCTGCCCTAGAAGGTTCTTACGTGGAGCATGAGAGAAAAGCACTGTGCAGTAAAGATTCAGAGTCAAACCAGCCTGGCCTCAATGCTGGTTCTGCCTTTGACTGGTTATATGAACCTCCCTGGCCTCAGGTTCTCATCTGCAAAGTGGGGACAGTAATAGCAACCTTGCAGAACTGAGAAGACCTAATTGAATACTCTCAGATTGAGGGCCTGACACAATGAGGGTGTTCAATAAATGTTAGCAACCCTCCATGTTAGCCACATGGGGGTCACCACGTTGGAAGTTTTCCTCCAGGACAAGGCATGGACTAATGAACCCAGAGTAGAGCAGAAGCAGGAGCGGGTGGGGAAGGGGACTGGGTGCATTCCTCCACCTCCTCAACCCGGCAGTAGCACAGCCTGCTTCAGCTGCAGTTTGAGAGTCACTCCTCTTCTGTCACTCCCTTGGCCAAGAGCAGGCAGCTCTAGACCTCAGGGATCCAACATATGGCTGTCATCAGTGATTATGGAGAGGGTGTCCAAGCCCTCTGGTGGTGGGGGGGCAGAGACAGAAAGGAATACGTTCCAACTGCCCTGGGACCTTTCAATACCTGCGGCCCAGCTTTCCAACCACAAACAGCCCCAGGGTTTAGAAAACAATGTGAAGGGGGATGTTACATTCAGGTGGGGGAAGGCGGGCTTCACACAATGGCATTTGATGTCACCTCCTGCAGTTGCTCACAGTCCTTCCACGCCACCCTTTTGCTGTTGGGTCATTTATAAAATTCTCAGCTCAGCCCTCAAGGCACCCTCAATCTGCCCTCAATTCCCCTTTCCTGTCTTATCTGCTACCAGCCTGCACCATGCACCTTCTACTCCAGGAAGACTGGTCAGATCAGGGCCTCCCAAACACTTCCTCGCTGCCTCCACTCCTTTGCTCACACTGTTCCTCTTGCCTGAATTATCATTCCTTCTCCTTCCTTCACATCCAGGTCTTCTCCATCCTTGAAGTCTGTCAAAGCCTGGCCCCTCCATGAAGCCTTTCTTGATCATTGGAACCTCCTTGTGGTAAATTAAGAATGGCCATAAATTCTTTGCAGCCCCTTCCATCAAGAGGTGAAGCCTATTTTTCCCCCCTTTTAGTCTAGGCTGGTCTACGACATGCTTTGGCCAACATAATGAAGCAGAAGTGACCACGTACAATTGTAGCCCTGGCCTCCGGAGACCTTGCAGCTTTCACTCTGAGAACCAAGTAGACTAGCTTGCTGGAGATATGTGGCCCAGTTGACAAGTATCACCAGCCACTGGACTGTGAGTAAGGCCATCTTAGACCATTCAGCCCCAACTGAGTCTCCAAACTATAGCCACATGAGAGACCCCAGGTGAAACTAGCAAAAGAACCACCCAACTGAGTCCACCCCAAACTGCCAACCCAGAGAATCATGAGCAAATAAACGGTTGTTGTATTAAGTCACTAAGTTTTGGGGCAGTTTCTTACCCAGCAATGGATGACTGAAACAGCCCTGTAGCACTCACATCCTTTCTGCTCCCAGGTATCTTCTCACTAGCACCTCTCTTTTGGCACTTAGGGAGCTCTCTCTTTTCTGCAGGTGCTTTCATATTCTTGGCTTGAACTCGGGGTAAAGACCCGGTCCCAAATCTTAGAGTGGCTAGGGGTGCTACCCTTTGAGTGTCATCATGAGTCTCCACCCTTCTTTCAATAAGAGTGCAGTCTTTAAGAAGAGAATCTGGGTGTGGTAGACTTTGTGACACACCTTCCAGATCCCCCTTCATTGAAAGCCTTGTTGCTCCAGATGCTGGGAGAGCTGGTAGACACGCTTAAGCTGTCTGCCCTTTCAGGGATTGCCTTAGCTGCGGGGAGCCACTTCTCTTGTCACCCCTTCCCACATCCAATGACTGACTGAGGCAGGGGTATAAAGGCCTGACCATCTCAGCCCCACTTTGGACAACTCTAAAGGGCCTTATATACTCCAGAGCTGTGGGGTTGGCTGACAATGTCGTTGGGCCTACCAAGCTCAAATTCTAGCTCTGCCATGCCTGCCTCTGTCCCTTCCCTCCCATAGGAGTTGATCCCAAGGGCCTCCTTAATTAACATCCTGCATGCCAAACTCCATCTGAGTTTACTTCCTGGGGAACCCAACCTACAACACTGGTTTTTGCATGCCTTGGTTTCCCCCATAGCTCCTAGATGCATCTAAACACCCAAGAAGTGCCCAATAAATACTGTTGACTAGATGGATGGATGGGTAGATGGAAAGAGAAAGAGATGGATATGTGTATGGATAAACTGTTCATTGAAGGAAGTGGTTAGAGCTGTGCCATCCAGTAACCAGTAGCCACAGGGGGCTATTTAAATTTAAATTTTAATTAGTTACATTAAATAAAATTAAAAATTCAATTTCTCAGTCACACTAGCCACATTTCAAGTAACCACATATGTCTCGTGTCTACCATATTGGACAACACAGGTATAAAACAGCTCTCTCATTACAGAAAGTTCTATTGGGCAGCTCTGGAGAGATTCTTGCCTCCCCAAATGTCCAGCCTCCTGTACTTGGGGCAGAGACATGGGACAGGAGTAGAATATTGAGATTCCCTAAGTGGGCATGGGGATTCCTGATAAACTCCTAGGGAGAAAGTAGCATTAGGGTCTAGAAACTTGCTCACAACCTTCAATAATTAATGTCAGGCTGAGCTTCTGTCTCCAAAGAGAAGGAAAGAAAACTTCTTCAAGTGAAAGATAAAAACCACATGGCCACTCACTTTATTCCAGCTCCACAGCCACCCAACTCTGGGCCCCCCACTCACCTGTCTCAGGCTTTGCCACCCCGTCTTCTGCAGAGCCCCGATGGCCCTGTGCAGGGGATACCCCAGGGCGATCACTGGCCCGATGAGATCTTGTTCCTCCTGGCTCAGGGCAGACAGCAGGTCAGCAGAATCAGGGTGTGATCTGTGGGTGCTGAGAGGCTGGGGCGCCCCCCCAGGAGGTGGCAGGCAGGTATACGGGCTGAGAGACTGAAATACAGATAGGCTGGATATGTCAGTTACCACTGGAGGTGACACGTGGCTGGGCAGGACATTTTTGAAGGTGGCTTTGCATATACCTTCTATATAGAGTGTAGGGGCTAATATTGTGGAGAGCTTGGAGTCCCGCAAACCTGGGTTCAACCCCAGCTCTCTACTGTTTTCTCAGTTTATTCATATGTAAAATAGAGGCAATCATACTAGATACCTCACAGGGTTGTTGAGAGGCTTAAATAAGACAATGTGAGAAAAGTGATTAGCAGAGAGCCTGGCATATAGAAACTGCCAGTAAACTTTAATATTTCATTTATTGCTTAGAACAACCCTGCAAGAGGAATATGATAGGTCCATCCTATTATCCTATTTTATAGACATTGAAATCAAGGTTCAGAGAAGTTAATGACCTCATAAGCAACACACATTTGGGACCTGAACCCTACTTACAAATCCAGGGTCCTTTACCCCACACCTTAGTGAGAGGGGACCAGGAGTGGATCCTCCCAGCCAGACCCTCCTTCTTGAGTTCAGCTGGGCTGTGACTCGGCAGGACATGGAGCAGAGTAGGGACTGGGCACAGCTGTGGTGCTGGGGAGACCCATACAGACCCTGGATGAAGGAGGGTGGCTTGAAGGCATTTCAGTTGGTTTGGCCGGCATCACTCCTAACCCATCCCCCATGAAGCAGCACCCATTTGCCAACCCTAAACACACTGCCCTGTCCCCTCCTCCTTGGGGAAATCCCAGCTGCTGCCCTGGCTCCTGGGGCAGAGTATACGTGTATGACATATGAATTCCTCACCCATCCCCATCTTCTGAGAGATGAATGATGAGAGATGACCTTACCCTAGGGTCTGCCCTTTACCCCTAGAGTGGAAAATATCCAAATTTTAGGATCTGAGTCTACTCGTGTGACCTTGAAAAATATTCTTAGATGCTCTCTGCCTCAATTTCCTCTTCTATAGGCCATCTGCCCCATCCCCTTCATGGGATTAAATTTAATCTGGACCAGCAAAGAGCCATCCTTGCATCAACACCTGGTCCTTGATGTGGGCGTGGTTTGTCCAGTTTACAGAGCTTCTTCTCTGCGTTGCTCTAAATGCTGTGTGAGGATTGCTGGCCCATTTTACAAGTAGAGAAGGGATGGCTCAGAGCAGTTCAGTGACTTGCCTAAGGCCACACACCAGCAAGTGGGAAAAGCCAGACCTCGAGTCTGTCTTTTGGATTTAATTTCACCTTGGCCTTAGTCTGTTGCGTCTCCTGGCCTGACTGTGGGGTGCTGGGGGCAGAAAGCTGTGCCCAGCTGCCACCTCCTGTTACCAATCCTGATCCCCTCCCCCCCAATGTGTTCCGGATCCAGGTTTTGTGGAGTTTGATACTAACACAACTTGGACCTCTTAAAGAGAAAAGACACAATTATGAATATAAAATTAGGTTCAAGGCCTTGGAAGGGGAAAAGTGAGGGGCCTGAGGCGTAAGCTTCGTTGGTTTCACCGTTAAGTTCACTTCTGCTCCCGTTCTTCTGGGCGCAGGTGCTCGGTCCTGAAGCCTTCCCAGCCCGCAGCAACCCTCACCTCTCTCTCAACACCTGATTCCTCCCGCGATCCAGGGCTGCCCTGTCCCACACCCGCTTGGCCAACTCTCCTTGTCCTGTGGTTTTGACCTGGTCTCTTCTAACTCAGTGTCTGGCAGGAAGTAACGGTACAGTGAACATTTCTTGATTGATCCTCCAGCTAACTCATCCTACAGCAAGTCTTGCCCCGTGGGAAGCCCTGGATTTGAGTTACATTCATTAATTCAACAGACGTTCTTTGAGCACCCCCTACAGGTCAAGTCTGCTGCTGGGTGCTCTGGAAACACAAATGAATACATCCAGGCCCTGCCCTGAAAGATTTGATGTTGTACTGGAAGAGATGGACAGGTACTGGATAACTACAATTATTGCGACGCGCGCTCTGATAGAGGCAGAGCAGGCACTGGGAAACAGAAGGAATGGGGACCTCTGAGCAGGGAATATTCTAGGCAAAGGGCCACAGGAAGGACAGGCCAGGTGTGAGCAGGTAGAGGGAAGGACGAGGAGCGCGGAGAGGGAGGATCGAGGCTGCTGATCGGGCCGGGGACCCAGACTGTGGGGGCCTCGGGGCTGAGCTTGGCGGAGCGGGCAGGTTCCTTACCGCGACCGTGGGCTTGTGGCTCCGCAGCGGGGGCATGGCGCCAGCCGTGGAGGGCCGCGGGGGCGGCGCGGGGGCACCCAGGAGCGGCAGCGCGGGGCTGGGGGGCGGCGCGGGGCTGGGGCAGAGGCTCAGCGCCCGGTGGCGGATGCGGTGCAGGAGGGCGCGGGGGCGGACGGCCAGGGGGCCCTCAGAGAGCCGCCGCCGCGCCCCGGCCAGCTCCGACCTCACCCCGCGCAGCACGTCCAGCGAGCACCCCCGATGACCCGGGCTGGGGCCCGCCGGGGAGCCGGGCTGGGGGCTGCAGGGACCCGGCTCCTCCTCGCTGGCAGAGGAGGTTTCTTCCTCGTCCTGGTCGTCGTCCTCCTCCTCCTTGAGCGGCTCCTCGGGTCCGGCCTCAGGGCCTTTGGCTGGGGCAGGCACGGACACCAGCTCGTGTTCGGGGCTGACCAGCAAATGCCAGGCGGGAGGGGCTGACGCTGTCCCTAAGGCATCGCACTGCAACGGGCAGGGTCCCCGGACGACAGCCTCCACCCAGAAGAGCGTCCTCCGCTCCAGGCTGAAGTCGTGCTGTGGAGAGAAGGTGACAAGAGGCTGGGCCGGGCAAACCAGAGCCCAGGGGTGCTCACCCTTACCCTCTGGCCTCCAGGGACCCGGTTCAGTGGAAGCCTTGCTAGGCCTGGACAGCTTCCTTTTCTGAGCCCCAGGCATCCATCACAGCCCATCCTCACCCTCAGTTTTAGCTACCACTGGGGTGGATGGATAGCAATAGCAATTTAATGGCAAACTCTGCATGAAGGACAAAGTGAAGAATAGGTTAATAGAATGAAATGTGGTGAAATCCAATATCGAAGTCCTTTTGCCATTCAGTATGTAATTGAACAACAGCGCCTTAAAAAATTTCTCCAATAAAACTTGTTCTTACTAAAGAAGCTTTCACTTGAGCCCAGCATCACTTGCCATGGAGCAGTCAGCCTTGGGGGCCTGCCCATGCACACAAACCTCCCTGTGGATCAACAGCTCTGCCCCTCGCCCCTTCGCTGCCATCCATGGTTACTTTGGGGCCCAGGAAATGTAAAAATCGCTAATCTTTATTAAACTCTACTCTTAGTAGAGTTCCTATTATTCCTATTTGCAAATTATGAAAATAAGGCTCAGAAAATTTAATTTGCTCAAGGTCAGATTGGTGGTGGGTGGCTGAGCTGGGATTCCACTGTCCATCTGACTGTAGTGCTTGCTCCACTATGGATCAGGCCATCTCTGAGAGCAATCAGGAGCCCACATAAATAATCTAATTTGAGAGTTTATAAGTGAGGCAAAAATAAAATATTCTTGTTGCCTACCTTTAAAATTAAGAACCAGAAATATAAAACTCCATTAAAAAATATAAAAATTTGAAAAAGGCAATTTCCATGCTGTATGATGGCCAGTTAAGGGAGAGAGAGTCTGGGGAAGTGGAGTGTGTGAGGGAAAGGGAGGCAGAAAGGCACAGACACGGATCACAGGTGCTGTGCCCTCCCACCCCTGACATGAGCCTATATTGGGGAGGAACATAACATAGCTCTTCCAGTATGGCTCCCTGACAGAGGTCGGGACTGCGTCTTATTAGCCTCTCTATCCTCAGAGCCCAGAGCAGGCCTGACACAGTGTGTGAGCCATGGGACATGGGGTGCTTCAAGGGTGCCTCCAGGGCAGATGTGCTTTGGGTCTGTGGAATAGTAATCCCTTCTAATGTGCCCCAGGTAACTGCATTTTAACAGAGAATTCTGGAGATAGTATCTTAGCCCAAAGAAGTGATTCTAATGGTGGAATTTTAGACATGGCAGCAGGCTGATAGAGAAGAGAGGAACTGGGGCGTCCTTGCAATGACTCTCAGGCATTCCATATAGGCAGCCTCCCAGTCATCCTAAGCTTAAAATAACACCCACTAAATAATGACTATGACCAGGCCACCAGCCATCTGCATGAAACCCCTTTTCCTCTTGGGTTATTTCCAAACTCCCTAGAATACACCAGAGCAGGCCTGGCTGGCCTTTAAAATCAAGGAAATTCCCCATGAGGCTCAGCCTCAGGCCCGCAGACCCAGGGACAAGGAGACAGATAGACAGAGAGATACACTTACCATAGAACCCAGCAGAAGCTCCCTGCAGGCTGGGACACTGAGTTCTGGCCCAGGGAGGGGCTCTTTGCCTATCACAAAGCCCTTGGGAACCTTGAAGGGGACACCATCCAGGGCATTCATTCTGTCAGAGGAGCGTGGAGATGGCTGAGCAGGGCTGGGGCAGCCCGTCTGATGGCAGGGACAGAGCGTAGTCCTAGGACCCAGCTCAGGCCTCAAAGAGCCTCAGTGCTCTCCTGTGTGGGGGCTTAGCTGAGCCCCACACAGCCAGGAAGGAAAAGGTGAAGTGGCCAGTGCTGCATAAGGGAGGAAATGAATGAAAACCAGAGGATTCAAACTGACAGGAATTGACTATTTCATGTTTAAGTCCCAAAACGTGGTCTACAACACTAGTTCTAAAGCATTTTATCAAAAGAGTTTTCACCCAAACGTTTAAGGAAGAAACATCAAGTTACACAAAGTCTTCCATAAAAGAGGGAAAGAAGGAATATTCCTAACTCGTTTTGGTTTCAACACCACCTTGATACCAAACAAGAAAATTAGACGCCAATCTCTCATGAGCATAGATGCAAAAACCCTAACAAAAATAATTATGGATAGAAAAATATAACACTGCCAGGTTGAATGGATTTCAGGAGTGAGAGATTGGCTCAACATTCCAAAATCAATCAATGGGAATTAAGATAAATGTCAATAGAATAAAAATTAAAAATTATATAGATATCTATCTCCATAGATGCCCCAAAAGCCCTTGATAGCATCAATACCCATTCGTGATTTTAAGAAACAACAAACAAACCCTTTTATCAACTTAGGAATAAAAGGGAATTCCCTTAACCTAATAAAGAATATCTCTGAAACCTCCAAAGCAAACATCCCACTCAATGGTGAAATACTGAAAGATATCCCTGAGATTGGAAATGATACAAGGATGTCCCCATCATCTCTTCTGTTCAACATTGCACTGGAGGTACTAGCCTGTGCAAAAAGAGAGGGGAAAAAATAAAGTATAAGGACTGGAAGAAAGAAATAAAACCACCATTATTTGTAGATAACAAAGTTATATGTAGAAAATCCAAAAGAATCTGTGAATAAAACTCTTAGAATCAGTAAGTTAATTTAGCAAGGTCATTGGATACAAGATTGACAAACCAAAATCAATTATATCTGTATATACAAACAACAAACCATGTAAATGTTTTTTGGGTTTTGTGTATGTGTGTGAGGAAGATTGTCCCTAAGCTAACATCTGTTACCAATCTTCCTCTTTTTGCTTGAGGAAGATTGTCCCTGAGCTCACATCTGTGCTAATCTTCCTCTATTTTGTATGTGGGACGCTGCCACAGCATGGCTTGATGAGTGGTGTATGGGTCCATGCCTGGGATCCGAACCCAAGAACCTCAGGCTGCCAAAGTGGAGCACGTGAACTTAATCACTACACCACTGGGCTGGCCCCGTGTAAATGTTATCTTTTAAAAATTTCAATCGCTAATGAAATTTTTTAAAGATAACATTTATATTAGCATCAACTACCTAGGACTCGATCTAACACAAGATGGATAAGACCTCTACACAGAAAACTGTAAAAGATTAGATTAAGTGAAGGAACATACCATGTCCTTGGATGGTAAGACTCAACACTGTAAAGATGCCAGTTCTCCCTGAATTGATTTATAGATCCCACATATCAAAATTCCATCACATCTTTTGGTGTAAATTGGCAAACTAATTCTAAAATTTAAATGAAATGCAATGGGCCAAGAAAGGCCATGACAATCTTGAGGAAGAAGCAACACAGTTGGAAGATTTATAGTCAGATATCAAAACTTACTTTAAAGTTATAGGAAAGAAGACAGTGTGGTACTGACATGAGGACTAAGAGACCAATAGAACAGAAAAGAAAGTCCCAAAACAGATCCACACACATACGGATCCTCGATTTATGACAAAATTGGCCCTGCAGAGCTGCAGAGCAGTAGGAAAATGAAGGTCTTTTCAATAAATGGTTCTGGATCAATTGGATATCCACCTAGAAAAAAAATCTTGACCTCTACGTCACATCATCACAAAAATCAATTCCAGGTAGACCATAGATTTAAATGTGAAAGGTAAAATAAAGCTTGAAGATAAAATAGGAGAATATTTTCATGGCCTTAGAGCAGGCAAACATTTCCTAAACAGGTTACAAAAAAAAGACTAACCATAAAGGAAAATACTGATAAATTGGGTTACATTAAATTTAAGTGCTTCCATTCATCAGAAGATGCAATTAAGAGAGTAAAAAGCAAATCATAGAGGAGAAGACATTTGCAGCACATGTGTCTGACATATGCGATATATACAAAGAACTTCAACAATCAATAAGAAAAAGACTCGATACAAAAATAGGCAAAAGATTTTAACAGGGACTTCACAAAAGAGGATATCCAAATAGGCAATAAACATATAATAAGTTATTATATTAGCGTCATTAGCCATCAAGGAAATGCAAATAAAACAATGAGATGTCACTGTGCATGCACACGCGCACACACACACACACAGAGGAATGGTTAAATTAGAAAGCCTGACACATATCAAATGTTGATGAGGATGTGGGACATCTGGAACTCTCATGCACTCTTGGTGAGCAAGTCAATAAGTATTACTCCACAGTATCTACTAAAGCTGAAACCTACGAATTAAAGACTCATTCACACATAACTTCTGGACCTTTTGGCTAAGATCGAGTGTAGCATCTGTTAGTTTCATAATATTCGCAATAGTCAGGGATTTTTTAAAAATGTATTTTAAACCATATTAAATAAAGATTCTGTTGCCTTAAAAAGACAAAACTCATTTATACAGAATTCAAGCTCAATGAGACTGCCTATAATATAGACTAAAATCTAGACTTCTGACTGAAGTCTGGCCTTTTGCAAACAATCAGGGCTTACCAGGGAGCCTGCACCAGGGAGGACCCCTGGCTTAATACAGTGTCATCCCTCTGGGATGGTGCAAAGCCCTGTTGCTACGGGTCACTGGGGTCATCCCCACGCCCACACGAGAGCAGCAGGTGAAGAAGTAGAGCAGGTAATCCGAGTGCAGAGCGGTCACACGGGGCCAGATGGGCAGATCCCTTAATTCCCTCATCTCTGCTGTCTGCCCCTCTCTCCGGCGTCTTACTGCATGTAAGATTCAAGAGGCTTCTCCACCCCATGCCCAGAGACAGTCTCCCAGCACATTGGGCGTGGCTCGTTATGCTACAGGATCAGACAGGTCCCAGTCTGATGAGTCAGGTCCCTACCCCACCAGCCTATTATGGGGGATCCTGAGGTTAGGGAGTTGTAGGCGACACAGGAAAGTGAGCAAGTTTTGGCATTCTCAGATTTATCATTCACATTTTCAGCTATTATTGGAATTTTGAGCTATGGGGAAGGACCAGTTTTCTTAAGACTCAAGTGAGAACTGCCCGTCCACTGAGCAGGTCCAGAGCCCTCCTCCTCCTCCTTCACTTCTGACCCAGCATCTGCATCCTAATAGAGATTCTCTACTCAGCTCTACAGCTGCTTCTGGAGTAATTTAAGAATCTGAGGATTCTGGAAACATGTCTCTTAAGAATAGCAACGGCTATAGTGTAAGACATGATCTAGTTAGAACATATTCTAAAGTGACAGTCACCTCTATTAAATACAAAACGAGACGTATAGATCATTAAGTGATGATATTCTTCAGAGGAAAAGGAGGATTCTAGGCCGTATGGGAGTTGGAGAAGCTTCAGGAAAGATGGGACTTGACCTGGAGCCTGGAGGGTAGGGGAACAGCCTGTGAGCAGGGAAAAGGTGGGGTGGAGAGCGTAACTTGAGGGAGCAGAGGCAGGGCAGACAAGGGGAGACAAGGGGAGGCAGAGGGGGAGACAAGCTGCTTGGCTCAAGTAGACAGCTTGTGCTGGGAAGGAGTCTGCAATAAGACTGAAGAGGTAGACTGAGGCAGAGCTGGAGAGGGCCCTGAACTTTAGGCTGAGTGCTGATTCCATTCCCCAGGCAGTGAGAAAGCCCAGAAGGGGTCTGAAAGGGTGGAGTGAGGGACAGGGAGCGGGGATATCAGGAAAGCCAGCCTGTGCATTCAGCAAACTGCATAATCCAGGACCCCTCCAACACAGTCTGTGGGTCTGCGCCGGTATGGCTGCATCTGAGCCTGAGGGTGAGGGGCGGGGTAGGTGGGGGTCTTAGTAATTGGTCTATGTGGAGCCCAGGCAATGACATTAGTATTATTTTTCAAATGTCTCCACTAGACTCTCTAAATGACTTCATCTTTTCCCGTAGCCTCAATAATCTATGTGCCAATGACTCACACATAAAATTCTCCAGTTTTCTTCTGAGGTCAAACTCATAAACACATCTGCCTCCACGGCATCTCCTCCAAGATGTCTCAAGGGCGCCTCAAACTCAACAGATCCAAAGTGAACTCCTGGTTTTCTCCTTCCCCAAATTGCTCCTCCTCCCCCAGGATTCCTTGTCTCAAGGAATGTCTAAGGTGCACAAGCCTGGGACTCATCCCCCACCCTTTTCTCTCCTTCACCGCCACCCATCTCAAATCCTTACCACGTTTCTCTCTTGAATCTCTGGAATTCAGCTATTTTGTGCTACCTCCACTGCTACCATGGGAATCCAAGCCCCCATTATCTCTCACTTGGATAATTGGTGTCCATGGATTCTCTTGTGCCCTGTTATTGTAATTCTGCTCCATACACTGGGACAAAAGTTCTCATTTCAGAACAGCAAACTAAGCCATTCCTCTGCTTAAAAGCCTACAATGGTTCCCAGCTACTCTCAGAATAAAAATCAAGTTCCTGACGAGGGCTTCCAAAGCCTTGCAGTGTCTGGCCCCTACTCCCTCACCTCCTGTCTTACTCTAGCCATGCTGCCTTCAATTGCCTTGCTTTCTTGGCCAACACAGGGCCTTTGCATATGCCATTCCAGATACTTGCTATGCTCTTCTTCCTTGTCTCTTTCTCATTTGTTAATAGCTGTTCATTCTTCAGAGTTCAGCTGAAATATCATTTCCTCAAAAAAGCTTTTCCTGACCCCCTAACTTGGATAGGTCCATCTAGTACAGTGGCTTTCAAGATTTTTTCTTACTGTGACCCACAGTATGAAATATGTTTGACTTTGTGACCTAGCATATACATATGTAAACTGAATAATGATAATTCTTACCCTTACTGTATGATAGATATTTTCTATTATTTCACCTAAATGCATTACAGAACACTCAGTTTGAAAAAAAAAAAGGGCCTAGTTAATCTTATAGCACCATACCTTTCCTTCAAAGTACTCAGTACATTTTTTATGATTTTTGGATTAATATCTATCTCCTTCAAAACCTGCATTAGGGAGTGTTTGTTATTTTGCTCACCATGACAGCCCTTGTACTTAGCAAACTGAGCCTCAAAAAGCACTTAATATTTGAACAACAGAAAAGTATAAATTTGTGACTAAGCACTTTTTCTTTGTAGCACTTATCACAATTATAACCGACTCTAATTATCTATATAATCATTATGCTTCTCTACTCTAGACTCTAACTCCAGGTGGGCAGGAATCCTGTTTGCTCCTTTTTATGTCTCCAGCACTTAACATTGTACCTGGCAAATGGTAAATAAAAATCATTTCTCAAGAACACAGTTCAAATCTTGGGATCCAGATTCTGGCAAGCATGAGTTAACAAGGTCGAGAAGTGTGTTCTGCTCTGCGTAGTTACGCACTCTACCCCCAACTGTCTCAAAGACTTCAATCTTTGCTTCAGAGACTATGAGAAACCCAGCGTATTCAAAAAGGCAAATGAAACCTGCTTTGGAAACAAATTCTTCACGGATAGCCAGAGGTGGCAAGTCAGGAACTACTGTGTGGGGGCACCCAAAAGTAAAGAGTTAATTATAGGAGAATAGCTTATTGGTTACAAGCACTAAGAAAAAAAAAAAAAGATTTAGGTGGAAATGCCTCATGTAATCTCTAGTCCCTAAAATATATCACTGCTAATACTTCATAGCATTCACATTCCTTCTGTATATTACATATTATATTTACCTGAATGGAATGAGACATACTTTGTACTTACCTTGTAATTCCCAGGATAGCTTCCCTATGGACAAAGCATGGAGAAGTGAATTGCTACAACAGATGGTATACTCCCAGCTAAGCTTCTTGATAAATCCTTGCACGAAAGTCACATGGACATAGGAACATGAATGGTTTTAGAGTGATTAAGTTGGTTGGCTTGTAGCCAATTCTTTGACGTCATAAACTCAGCCACATGGGCTGAATACTCTTAGTATTTAACATATAACTGATCTCTTTATTTCATTTTTGAATCCTCCCTATATTTACTGATTTCTTAAAAATAAATGCTTTTGTTAGAGTTTCTCACAAATCCAGGGTCTCCTCTACTGGGAAATAGGATAAATAATATTCCTGCGTATATATGACACGATGAATCAACACATTTCTGGTTAGTCTTTGAATGAGTTTATTTCCCTATTTTCATTAATTTATGTTCAATATATAGAGAATTTAGGTATAGGTGTAAAAAAGAGATGATTTAGAAAAGGGCTGAAGGCTCAACAGAATGGTAATTCCTGGTTCCGACTCAAAGGAATAAGAACTGACTAACAATGACCAGCAATAACAACGAGCACCCCTATTGTGCGGATTGTGACCTAAAAATACCTTTTCCACTGAAGAGGAACCAGGGTCGTGGAGAAATGACTGCTTCCAGGTCTGGGATAGGAAATGTGCACAATAAACTTGGAACAGAATATGGGGTTTGAATGGGAACTCATGAGCTGAGTTAAAGAGGCTCCCACTGGCCAAAGGTGAGGCAATCAATAAAGAAAACAGTACAATGGGTTGAAAGACAAATATATTTAGATCCAAGTTTGCAATGATACTTAAAAACAAAATTCACTGGTCATCTTTGGAGGATGTTAGGTAACCAGCTCATTATTTTGAAAACTAGTAAACAAAGGAAATTACATATTTCTTTTGCCTTTCCTAAACAAATTGTACCCCAGGGTAACCAAACAGTTGATGAGAGGATGCTTCTCTTTCTAGAAGTATTCCAGCTAATAATTAAAGAATGGCAGAATTAAACCATCACTATTTTGCAACCCCAAATGTATGAATCTAGGTCTTGATTATCAATGGCTGCTAAGATCACAAAGAGACAATTAGACATTAGTCTTCCTGAAGGGAGTACACACCAGGTCTCCGAAATATTCTTGCCAGAAAATTCTAACCTAAATGTGATCCAGCCTCTAGATGAGTGCTGTCTGAGAAATATGTGAGCCACATATGTAACTGATACTATTTTTTTTTTTTTGAGGAATATTAGCCCTGAGCTAACATCTGCCAATCCTCCTCTTTTTGCTGAGGAAGACTGGCCCTAAGCTCACATCTGTGCCCATCTTCTACTTTCTATGTGGGACACCTACCACAGCCTGGCTTGCCAAGCAGTGGCACGTCCGCACCTGGGATCCGAACCAGTGAACCCCAGGCCGCTGAAGCGGAATGTACACGCTTAACCGCTGCGCCACCGGGCCAGCCCCCACATATGTAACAGTACATCTCAGTTCAAACTCAATTTCAAGTGCCCAGCATGACGATACACACATGTAAAAACTTTAGAGCCTTCGGGGTTTGGAAGTTGACAGCTCTGTGAATCCAAATCTCTCCACAATCAGACAATCAACTTTCTCCAAATCACACAATCAACAAGGAGAACAAACAAAGCTACACATAACCAAGATTTCAGCATTACAAGAAGACAAAGAATACCATAACCTTCAAATGCAGGTTCATAACTAAACACCAAACTTCAACCTAGCTCCTTCCACTACTGAAAGCCTTTAGAAACAACTGAGTGAAGTGGTAGGTTTTTTCAAATAGAATCTGGTTATTTCTGCCTTCACCCCCTAGACTAACGGCATTAATAAACACATATTGGAAAACAAACAAAACAAAAAAAACAAAACTCAATTTCAAGTGCCCAAGAGCCATACGTGGCTACCATATTGGACAGTACAGCTCTGTCTAACCACTAAATTATAGGAAATACAGGAACAGAGGAACATCCTATGATAAGGATGCAATTAGCAAAATCGAGACTGGGAATCTTCAGGAAAAAAGGAGTTGATTTCTTCAAGTAATAAATTGGAAGGACGAGGAAAGGGGAAGAGTGCACAGGAGGAAGCAGGAGAGAGATCTACAGATTATCACAAATTTAGGAGACATCAACCAACAACAATGCGTAGATTGCATCTAGACCTTGATTTGAACAAAGTGTAAAACACATTTACGAGATAAGGATATTTAAACACTGAATGGATATTTGACAATATTAAGGAGTTATTAATTTCTTTAGGTGTGATAATGGTTAAATTTTGGGTTAAATTTTTAAAATATCTTTTAGAGCTACATACTGAAATATTTATGGATAAAGTAATACAATGTCTGGGATTTGCTTCAAAATAATCCAGAGTGAGTGGTGGGGGTACAGATGAGAGAAGATTAGCCATGAGTTGACAATTATTTGAAGCTGGATGATGAGTCCATGAAAAAATCATTACACTATTCTTTTTACTTCTGAATACGTTTGAAATTTTCCACATTAAAAAAAAAAGACTGTGGGATAAGATTACAATGACACTGTCCATATTCTCAGAAGTATAATTCATTAAAGACACTACTATAAGTCTTTCTTTCTAAAACCATAAAGCACCACCACTACACAAGGCAATAAACCAGGAAAAACTTACAGAACAAAAACAAAGAAACAACAAAAATAATGCTCACTTTATTAAAACTCTGCAAAAGCCGAATGAGAGGAAAGAGGGAACGTTTTTTCCACCTGGGGTTAAATGTTAAAGGCTTTCTTCTTCCTGGGCTCCGAGTTCTCCTGAGTCCCTGCTCCACACTCCCTGCCCCCATCATTGCAGATGTCTTAACGGCAAGGCTGTCTGGACACCACACGTACGTACATCGTATAATTCACCTTCTATTTCTACTCTTCCTGCATCTCATTAGAGAGCAAATGGTGGAGATTTGTAAAAGGGGACACAGGCCTGTGGGATTATGTGAGGCTAATCACCTCAGATTTTAAGGTTTATGAGCTTAGACACACACTTTGGAGGAGTGCTGGCCCTCATACACTATCTGTTAATTCTGTAATGCATAATATACAAATTTAACGGTATAAATTAAACAACAGAAAAGGGACAAAGGTGTTAGCATCTTGCAGCCAAGAGCTTCGAACTACATGAAATCATTTCCAAAGGTGATGGAGTCCTTTCCTGTTATCCAGAATGAGATGCCACCAAGTTTAGTGCTTGAGATCCCCCTTTCTGCAGCAAATGCCTATTTAATAAATTTGAATTTTGGAGTGAAAGTGTGTGTAGTGAATTGGGAGGCAAGAAATTGGGGGCAAAGGCTCAAACTAAAAAATAAAAATGATATTTATTTATCTTTTTGGAAATATAAATAACACAATAAATGACAAAAAGCAAAGCAAAACAAAACTGACGTGTTATATGATTCATCATCTCCAGGCACAACAGCATTTATTAATGAATATAAAAAAATTAATTTTATTATTTTTATCTGCTTTTCCCCCAGCTTTAACTACATGGATGTTTTCGGAAGCTTGAGTTCCTAGGACAATTCCACAGCTTTACTGGCCCCTACAATGACTGAGTGAGGTTAAGGTCCCACTCCCATAGAGAAGCAAAAAAACCTTGGGGACTCTGAACAACCAGCCCTCTAGGAACTTAAATCTCAGGTGCTTTCATTAGGATCCTTCTGAAATGGGGAAAATGCAGCCATCATCCTTTACACACGATCCAATCTGAGGACACGTACTCTTTAGGTCTTCTCAGTTCTCCACACGACTACCAGGCTAGGCGACTACCTTTTCCAGCAGCCAGGCCTGCAGCCTGCAGCCTCTTAAGCTGCACCAGAAGTGGGATTCACAAAACCGACGATGAAGCGTTTTTGACTTTTCTTCCTGGAAGTCAGAGGGCTCTGTGAGTAGGATGGGTAAGGAGGTTTTGCATCCAGCTTGCCTTCACACTCAGTACTGGGGTGCGGCCTGTGAAACTGACCCAGTGCACACTTGTGTTGAGTGTGTGAGTGTATGGAGTATACTTACCCATCACCACACATGAAGGTAAGAGTAAATGAACAAGTCACTCTGGACCAAGCCCCTCAAAACAGAGGCAAATTCAGTGAGCCAAGGCCACTGCCTGTGGTAATAACCCCAGTTCACCTAGGTCCTTCCTGAAGAACCGTCTTAATCTCCTGATTCAAGAGGCACCTCTGGCCAGGACAGAGCACGGAAGGAAAACGTAACTTCTGGATAGGGCAATGCCACAGGGAGTTAGAGGTTGTGGATTAGTCTATAGCACAAGAAGACGGCAGCATCACTAACATTTACAGCTGGAAAGAGCCTTGGCTGGACCGCACTCCAGGAGCCTCTTTACTAATGCAGCTTAATGGCGGTTGCCCAGATGTCGTTGCTGGGGAGCGGGGGAAGGACCCATCCTTGGGGAACGGAGTTGCCTTTGGGATGATCAGATGGCACCAGGTACTGATCCCAATCATGCCTTAATAAGAACATTGCAGAACAACTGTTTATTTCTGTTTTATTCCAAGCAAGATGTTCAGCAACTAAATATTCTATTTCAAGACTTAGCTTTCAAATGACTGATATACTAGTCAACTAAAGAACTTGATTTCTAGGAATTAGGCAAAGGACTATATTTCTTAGTTGTATATATAAAGGGGAAAAAACTCAGAAGAACTTATAATCTTATGTCTAACCAAATAATGAATATACAGTCAATCCTAATTATTTGAAGATTCCATATTTGCAAATTTGCCTATTCACTAAAATTTATTCGTAACCCCAAAATCATTACTCGTGGTGCTTTTGTTGTCACTTGCAGACATGCACAGAGCAGTGAAAAATCTGAGTCACCAACAGGCACGTTCCCAACTGAGGTTGAACATGGTGGCACACTGTTTTCTTCTTGTTTTCAGCTCTCATACTGTAAACAAGGGTCTTTTTTGTAGTTTATTTAGTACCACGTTTTTCAAATTTTTGTGCTTTTCACCGGTGATTTTACTGTTTAAAATGCCCCTAAGTATAGTGCTCAAGTGCTGGCTAGTGTGGGAAGGCTGTGATATGCACATTAGATAAGCTACGTGCAGGCATGAGTTCAATGTTAATGAACCAACAATATATATTAAATAAGGTGTCTTTGAAAAAATATACATAAAACGTTATGTATTGATCAGTTGGTGAAAATGTTGAGGCCACAGGCTCACAGGAACCTAACCCTGAAGGCCTTTTATAGGAGCAGTTCAGCCTTCTCTAACTCAGTGTTTGCAGCTCAAAGAACACAGCTATTGTGAATAATGAGAATCGACTGTACTTACATTTAAAAAAGAAAACTTGAATATTAGCCAGAAATACACGGTTCCCGGAACACAAACGTGCAATGCCAAAGAGCATTGTTGGAGCTCTGGAAGGAACCTCAGAGATCACTGAGTGCAGTGATTTTCAAACCAGGCTTTAAAGACCCATAGACCCCAAGGAGAAACAAAGTGCTTCCAGTCAATAACAGATCGTAACTGCCTGCGGGACCCGTTCACTCATCCTAACTGTTTTACAAACGGACTTCTCAAAAGACTGTGTTTGGGAAGAGTATTACTGCTAAAGCTTGAGGGTCACATTCTAGTCCACCACTTTCATTTTCAGGAGGAGAATGAGACCGAGAGAGCTGAAACCTTTACCCAGCTCATGAGTAACTGCAGGTGAAGAGGAGACTCCTTGTTCCCAGCTCTCTCGGCTCTGACCTGTAAGAACTCACAAGTCAGCATGGGTCTGTAAGACTGCAAGACAGCATGACCTGTAAGAAGTCAGCATGGGTCTTAAAACACTCTCCACAGGCAAGTATACAGGGAGAGTTTCTTTTCCTTGCTCTGTTTAGCAGCAGAAGAGAATGAGGAAAAGGAAACCAATGCTTTAAGTTAATATAACATCTACGGCACAGGATAATACCAAAGGACAGGGCACAACCTCAGCTTCAGTTTCTTCACCTGTCAAAATAGGGAGCTCTACTTCCTGAGGATTAATGAGGATTCAATGAGACCTACGTGGCACCCGTGAACCTTGGAATCTTTAGATAAACGCATAAGGAACTTAAAAAGAAAGATATAGCAATAGACCTCAACAACATAAGCACTTCGTCCGCTGCTTCTTGCCACCTAAGGCAAGATGACAAGGAGGGGCCCTCTGACCTGATCTGGATGAGCGCCGGCAGGGACTGCTCAGCTTGGAGGTAATACTGTCGGAAAGGCTGCAAGAGGTGTGCAAGTGGGAACTCGTCTGAAAGAGAAAAGGCAAGATACCACGTCACCACACTGGAGATCTAGGGTTTATTTCGCAAGCAAAGTGACCAAGCCTATGACAATATGATTAAATGTGTTTCACCTTTAGCCATGATTTCCAGGATATTAGTTTAGAACTTTAGAGCCTGAAGGTGTCATTTGTTGCCTATCACCTCAGCTTATGTTGAGATCATCCATGAGGAAAACGGCTGTCAATCTAAGATTTTTCGCTTTCTCCACTGGTTACAGAGGAACTTACCTGGGTCCCCAAATAACTTGGACTCAATTTCACGCTTCTGAAGTAAAATTTTCTCTTTTTCTTTCCTCTGTTTCTTTTCTAATTCTCTTTTCCTCTCTTCCTCTTGTTCTCCTTCCAACATAACTCTGAGGGCTCTCTCTTCAGCTTCATATAGTTCAGAGCGTTTTTTAATGAGTTTTCTCAGTCGCTGAAGATGATGCTCAAAAGTCTCATCTGCTGAAGCTGGAGGACAGACCCCTGGGCAAAGACATCCAAGTGGCATTTTAGATACAACTTTTTCTTATCCCAAAATCCATGTGCTAATGAGCAGACTCAAAGTCCTACTTACTGTATGAATTTGCTTAGAATTTGTAAATTCTAACCAATCTTCAAGGCTCAATTTGATCTTCTTTAGTCTTCAATTAATCTGACCCTACACTGACTTTCTCTCACTCCTCTCTCTCGAGCATACCACTTAACCTTAGATTTTGTTTATTTCTAATTAGAGGTTTAGATCCTCCAGTTGGAGAGTGAGCTCACTAAAGGGAGGAATTGTCCTATCCTTCTTCATTGTGAAATTCCCACAGCACTGACTCCCAGACCCAACTAATAAACAACTCTCCTGACTGAGTCTTCAGTTCCGGGACAGCACACTCAGACAGTGAGGAAGAAATTCACCTAACCAACAACACTGACCTCACAGTCTGCTGCTGAGAGCAGGGGGACCAACTGCTCCAGTTTGCCTGGTGTTAGCATGGAATGCCCAGTGTCCTGGGAAACCTGGGATGGCTGGTCACCCTGAATCAATTGTGAGATCAGCTAACAGTACAGCCAACATAGCCAGAGCCACAACTGGGAAAACCTGATAACAGACTAGTTATTAGGTAATATCAAAGAATTATTACTAATTTTGTTAGGTGTGATAACACCATCATAGTTGATGACGGGTGTTTAGGTGTTCTATTTTTGTGCGTATGTGAAATTTTTTATAAAATTTCATAAGGAAAGAGTTTTGAAATTTGCTGAATACGTGAGTGGATTGCAGCTGTGCATGCACTGCCATAACGGCCCTGCAAAATAAAAGCTGCTGGAGCTGCTACGTGATTCAGCCTGGAGTTTGATGCGGTTGTGGTCCATCCTGGTAGTCCTTACAGATTTTAAAGGAAATTGTGTTTATTACAGAAGCATTTTAACAATACCAGATACAAGAAAGAAAAAAATCCTAATCCTACTAACATAACCAATCATTTTCATTTCCCCATGTTGATCCTCCAGTCATTTTTGTCCATATATTAGGAACTTCACATAGTTCAACATAATGTGTGTGTAATTTCTGCATCTTCGTGTCGATTCTCTACATTCTTTTCCAGGCTTTATAATTACTGAATGGCTCTATCTTAGTTCATCAAAGCAAAGTACTATAATTTACTTAACAAGCTCCCTACTTCTGGACACTTAAGCTGTTCCAAATGTCCTATTTTCACATAACGCTACAATGAATACTCTTGGGCATGTTACCATTTTCCTTTCTATGGATTATTTCTATAAGATAAATTCTCAAGAGTGGAAATGTTTATGGATACTTTCAAGGCCACCTAAATGTGGTACCAAACTTTCTCCTAAAAGAGCTACATATTACACAGCACCTAAAGTTGTCACAGAGAAAGTAATTAATAAATATTTATTTCTTCAATAAATGAATGATTTTCAACAGGGTTTTGGAATTTTTTGCTGCTACCAGCGAGGTACAATATTGCCAACTTTGAGCACTAAATTTTCAATTTTGGCATAAAAGAACGGTTCCTTAAATTTAGTAGTTCTGTCTCTTGTGAAGTTGTTTAATCTGGAGGTCTGATTCTTTTCTCCTCGACCACTGCAGCTAAGTGGCTGTGGAATTTACTCTCCTCGCTTCACTTCCAAGGCTAACTTTCTCCAGATCATTTTCTCAAAACTGCTTTGCTTGAACAGGTTTCCATTCACTCATTCCCAATGATGGAAACTCTACAACTCAAATCCATCTTCTACTAAGTTGCTGGGCTAATATCTTTTAAATACACACAAAATTCTCATGCACTGAGAAATTTAAGCTTTCACGATGTGGCTTTGTAATAATTTCATGGTTTTGTTTAATTTCTTTACCTAGACCAGGGAATGGCAAACTTTTTCTGTAAAGGGCCAGACGGTAAATATTTTAGCCTTATGGGCCATACAGTCTCTGCTACAAATGCTAAAATCTGCCAGTATTATGAAAATATATAGACACTCCATCAGCCCATAAGTGCCTCCAGACCCCATGAGGAGCTGTGGCCTGCTCCCATCGTAGGTGCTGGGCCTGTGCCACCCACCTTCATCTCCCTCAACCTTTCATCCATCACTCCTGGTCACCTAACACATTCCCTCGGGAATGGCACTCCTCACCAGATCTTCCTCTTGACTCCATGTTCTGAAATAGTCTAGGTTCCCTCCACCCCTACCACTTACTCCTCTAGTTCCTGCAGCTCCTAGATACCAACTGCCTTTATTCCCCTTCAGCCACTCACACCTTGGCACCTTGTCCAACCTTTGGACCTTGGCATGATCACAAAAAATTGCACCTCTGAAGTCTTTTTAAAACTTTTTTTTTTAATTTATTTTTATTTTTTTATGATTTTATTTTTCCTTTTTCTCCCCAAAGCACCCCGGTACATAGTTGTGTATTTTTAGTTGTGGGTCCTTCCAGTTGTGGCATGTGGGATGCTGCCTCAGCATGGCTTCATGAGTAGTGCCATGTCCGAGCCCAGGATTCAAACCGGCGAAACCCTGGGCTGTCGAAGTGGAGTGCGTGAACTTAACCACTCGGCCACTGGGCCGGCCCCACCTCTGAAGTCTTAAACCTTATTAGTCTCTTCTCTGACTACGACTTTCTACACTTTCTGTACTCTTATCTCCTTCTCCCCTGAGACTGCACTTTTCTTTCAGCTCCCACCTGCTGAGTTCCCCAAGATATTTATTTATATGTACGTACACACACAAACACACACACACACACAAACACACAGACACATACACTCTCTCTCTTTTATTCATCTCTTAAATCCATTTACTTTTCTCCAACTTACCATCTGACCCTTAGTTCACACCCTCATACTCTCCCTGCCCAGACTACAACAGTCTCATCAGTCCCTCTCCCCTTCCCCCTCCCTCCTAGGTGCTCCAAACCTTCCTCTGCTTGGCCAGCACTGATCTTTGTCATCCTTTCACTCTCTGCTTAAAATCTTTCAATGGTTCCCCTCAGCTTTAAGCATAGGTGAGCAGTCTAGCCTGGCCCATGAGACACTTTGCAACGTGGCCCTGCTTACACATCCAGCCTCGTTCGCTCAGCGCTTACTTGGAGGTGCACATGCTTTGAAGAGAAAAGTTAGAAAGCTGCTCATTTTCTTTTTAAGTATGCAACCAGTTGCTAGTTACCAAATCATTTGACATTCCAGTCAGTTAACTCCACAGAGACTGCTTATTTTTATAGATCATAATTCCTCCTAAAATTTCCTTTCTTTTGGACCAAGGTGAGGAAGACTAACAGTGAAAAATTAATGCTGGTAACTCCACTTGGCAAAAGTTTACTGACCACTCACCTCCTGGAGGACACGGAGTGGGGGATATTAACAGTAGCCGTCAGGTTTTGCATTCTCGTAAGGAAGAGATATGGGGAGACACAGGAGCTGCAAACTCCCTTCTGGCTCATGAACGCCCGATTCTGAGGCCTGAATCTGAATCAGCCACTCTGAAGGCTGGATGCAGAAGCTAATCACTCAGCTCGTGAATGAGCCTAGGTGAATGCACAACGGTCACATCCCAACAAAACTTTATTAAGGGTCTGAACTGCAGTTTCATTCACAGTTTAAATCACAGAGGGGAAATCATTTGCTAACATGGTACTTGCTAACCTGTGTACTCTCAAATATCCCTGGGGAATGTCAATGGCCTACAGCCTACTATAAGGCAGCATGTGGGCCAAACCAGGTGCAAGTGAGAAGGATCAGGGGGTCACCTCAGCTCAGGTCAGGGCAGGATGGAGGATGCTGCATCTTTATTTAGCTGTGAAGAATAGTGAGAGCTTAAAATGGCAAAGATGGGACTGTGGGCCCTCCGGATGAATAGACTGATAAGAGCAAAGATCCAGGCAGGCAAATGGAAAGCTTAACTGGGGAACTTCTGGAAAACCAGTGCTCCCTCTAGAGGCAAGAGGAGACTACCGAGGCTTTCTGTCAGTTCAAAAGTGACACGCAGGCAAGCTGGGGACATCCACGCAGCGTGCAGGGCACTCCCAGCCCTGTCCAACCATTCACACCTCTTCAGACATCAATGTTTCAGGTTTGAAATGTCCGTGAAGGAGCATGCCAAGATGCCACCACCTCTGAAGCACCAAGTTAGGACAGCTTTCACCTCGGCACATGGGCAAAGTTGGCTAACCACATCCCCTCACTTAGAAAAACGTGTCCAAGAATGCCTGGGGTGGGAATGATGAGTCAAGGGGAGGACAGTGCAGTGGGCTGCCATACCTGCCTCTCACTTCAACTTTGGCCACGAAGGCTAAACACATTCTGAGGCTTCCTGCTTCCAAAGGCCTGAGGTAATGTTGACAGGCTTAGCTAACCTACTAGGTGAAAATAATGAAGCAGCAAGCATTTTTCCTTCAAAAATTGGGGAGAGGCGGGGCGCTAGGGTAAAGAAAGGGAAGGAATGGGAGAATAGAGGAAGAAATGCAAAGCCACAGTCACCTTTCCTTGCGGCAGCCTCTTTCCTGAGTTTCCTCAATTTCTCCAAAGCCCGAAGAATGTCCACCATTCTTTTGGTGTCTGCTTGTTTTTTCCTCACTTCAGATAAGACACCATCAGCAGCAGCTTTAAGTTCCTGCTCCTGAAGGAGAAAGAGAGCCCATGAGACCTAGTACAGATTAGGAACAACCTTACAGCAGAGAACAGCTGCCCAGCAGTGCGATTTCAGAGGATCTGACAGTCCCAGGGTTGAGAGGGGCTCTACGAGATCTACATCCCAGCTTCCTGGGCCGTGCACAACTCCCCTCTCCACTGGTCCAGCCAAAGGAGCATCCTCTCTGCAGCTTCCACATGGCGCTGGTCTTTGTTTCTCCCTCAGTTTCTCAAAGTGTGGTCCAAGGAACATGTACATCCAACTCACCTTGTTACGTTGGGGCTCTCATTAAAAATGCAGACTCCTGGACCCAAAGATTCAGACGAGCAGGGGAGATAAGGAATGGGATTGGAAAGGCCCAGGACTCTCCAATGCTCTCAGTGACATTGTTCCGAAGTCCCAAGGAATTCTTAGACACGACAGCCTTTCAAACATCTAAAGACCCCATCCTACTCTAGTTAAGTTGGTTCACATGTAGACTAAGTAGCTCTGGCTCTTCAAGCTACTCACGGGACTCTGTCTCCAATACCCTCACCGTGGCTGGGAGGGAGCATCCTTTTGCCTACAGCTCTCTTTCCCACCTGTGAAATAAGCACTTGTAATTCTACCAGTCCAGCTCCGCCATGCTGTTTCACTCTTCTGCTTGTATGACTCCCTCTGCTTGGAAGTGCACCTGTTGCTTTCCCTTGGCTTTGACATTCCCTTCAAGACTCAGTGCAAATGTCCCTATGACATCCGGAAGACTGCCCTGACGCCTTCGCCCAATGGATTAGAAGCTCCTTCTGTGGGCTCCTACAGCACCTACAGTTGAAATCCTAACACACACCATGCTGTACACACATACCCGCCATGGGGATCTAAGCCCCTCAAAGACAAGCACTATGTCCTATTCATTTCTATCTCCAGCACCCAGCACTGGGCCTGGCACATCATGGGCCCTCATTAAAGGTCTGCTGAACTGACTCAAACTCCCTTAGATTAAGGTGTTGCCTCCAAGTGACTCATTTAAAGCACTGATATTCTTGGGGGCGTGAAGACAAAGCCTGCCATCAATATGCTTCAGCGGGGAGTTATACCAGACTCTAGGGCGGTGGCAGACACGAGAAGGCAGGCAACACTAGCTGGTTGTGGAGGGTGGAGGGAGGGGGAAGTGCCTAGAGGCACTGAAGAGCAACGAGAATGCCTCAAACGATTTGACCAATTTCCAGTTTCACTCTGGCCCCTACATAAGAGCGGAAGATAGGCTTTGGAATCAGACAGTTGGGCTGAAATCAGGAGTGAAACTGCCAAAACCAGTTGTGTGATTCCTGGCAAGTTAACCTCTCTATGCCTCAATTTCCTAATCTCTAAAATTGGGATAATACGGCCTACCTCTCAGCATTGTCACAAGGATTCAAGATCTGGTGTACTGGGCATAGTGCCTAGTATATAGTCTAAATAGCCAAAAACACTATTGTTGAATCTGAGGCTATGTGGGTTGGAACCTGTAAACAAAGGAATCCTGCGGAATTTCCCATCCTGAGGACTATCACCCCATCAGCCAGTTAGGGTATATGTTCCTTGAGGCAAGGCCCCAGGTTCTCTCTATTTTGTGTTCTGAAGATCACTAGAGCAGCACAAGACACAAGGACCCAGATGTTGTCGGTCTTGAATGTTAGTAAGTGGACAGAACGTTGAAGCAGGAGACAGGATGTCCCATACTGTGTCATATACTTTGTGTTTACCGGACTTTGCAGTGCACCCACAGCATTTGTGTTGTGTACTATACATCATAAACACGCAGTCAATATGGAGATATGAGGTCGGAAAGGCAAGCTCTCTATTTTAGGAATGAAGAAAAAGAGCCTTAGCCCTGGGAAAAGACAGCGCAAAGCCTCACGCCCCTTCAGGCTTCCACACCACTACCCCCACCCCCGGGCGCACACGCTGCTCTTACCCGCTTCTTTTCCTCCACCTCCTGCACGCACTTGACCCTCCAGCGGTCAATCTCCTGCTCGCGCTCCGCTGCTCGCGCGGCCTCCGCCTCCCGCTCGGCCTCGCGTTCCCGGGCCCGCTCGCGAAGCCGCTGCCGGCGGCGCCGGACCCTCTCCAGCCTCCGGCGCGCCTCGCCCACATAGGCGGCCTGGGTGAGCAGCTGCAGTCGCTCGGCCAGCTCGGCGCGCAGCGGCGCAGCCTGAGCGTGCAGCACTGCCCAGGCCGCACCGTCGGCCTCGGCCTCGCGCAGGGCCTGGCCCAGCTCGCGCAGCCGCCGCACCAGGCGCAGAGCCCCGCGCAACTTTGCGCGCACTTCGCCCAGGCTGGGCCCGGCGGGTGCGCGCGACGGCACCGGACAGCCCGACCGGCGAGGGGCTCCGAACACCGCCTCTAGCCACTGCCGGTCGCGCAGGCGCTGCAGGGCCGCGTCACCGAGCACGTCGGACGGCGGCGGCGCCTCCGGCCAGCGCGGGCTCCAGGGCGGCCCCGGGCCTGGAGGCGGCGGCCGCGGGCGCTCGCCGGCGTCAGTCCCCGGGAAGGGCCGGCACTGGGGTGGCGGCGGAGGCAGCGGCGGTGGCGGCACCGGGTAGAAGGCGCCGCCGCCGCCCCCTCCGCCGCGGGAGGCTTCCCCGGGGGCCCGGGGCTGCAGAGCCAGCGGGGGCTGGAGGAAGGGGGCGGAGGCCCCCAGAAAGGGGCCAGGCCGCTGGGGAAGAGGCGGCGGGAAAGCCGGGGAGGGCAGCGGCGGTGGCGGACAGCTGAAAGGAGCGGGAGGCGGCGGCTGCGCGGGCGGCGGGCCCGGGCGACCCGGGGCGAAGAAGGGCGGCAGAGCCATGGCCACGACGGAGGGACTCTGAGAAGTGACAGGAATCTGACTAGTTCCCCAAGAAAGACTATCTTCCGGGAGGAAGTGACGTAATACCACGCGCCACGCCACTAGGACGCGCCGGTGGGGCGCGTGGGTGGGACTCATTCAATCCTTCAATTCGTAAATACTGCGGTAACTGAGGTGCAGAGCTAGCTGCTTTGCAAACAGTGAGACTAACGGAGAACAGTTCCTCTCCTCGTGGAACTGTCTAGTAAACACATTAATCAAGTAATCATGCAAACAGATGTAAAAGTGCAGCAGTGAATATCTAAGTACTACCAAGGAGGAAAACACCGGGCAAGAATAGCTTATAGTGATATCGAACCTGAAGTGAGTTCGCTCACCCATTGCACAGCAAGCCAATCTCTGACACCGGGTGTAGTGGAAGAAAGTAAGAATTTTATCATTGCACAGCGCTGAGCAAGGAGAAAGGGCAGCTGATGCTGAAATCCCAAACTCCCTGAAAAGCTAAAAGTAAGGATTTTTATTGGGGATTTTAGGTAGGGCAGGGGGAGCATATGGCCTTGCTGGTCAGCAGCTTTCCCACCAGCCTGTATGTCCTTTGCCGGGAGGAAATAAGGAATCTAGGTGCTTGTCCTTGGCCACTCATCTCCATGGCAGATAGTGGATTCTGGAGCCAGGAAGCCAGGGAGTAAGCAGGGAATGAGTGCTTTGGTTTTAACCTCATATATGCTGGGTTTAATGTAGGGAAACTAATATCAGGGCCAGTATCAGTAGGAGAATTTGACTTAGTCAAAGAGGTTGCAGAAAGTTGTGTTAAGGATTTGAGGCTTCTTTCGAGGTCTGAATTATAAGTAGGAGTTAGAAGAAGAAGAAGAGAGGGAAGCACAATTCAGATGGGAACAGCATTTGCAAAAGCTCCCTAGTAGATAGGAGTAGGGGGTACTGAAAGAGTGCCAGTGTGGATGGAGCACAGAAAGCCTGAAGGGAGCCCGGTGATCCTAGGAGGGGGACAGAGATCATAGCGTCCAGGATATCTGGCTTAAGGACAATGGGAAACCACTGGAAGGTTTTAAGCAGGAGGAGAAGAGAAGCCCATGCCACATGATTAGATTTTTAAAATTAAACTCTTCAGATAATCATAGCTACATATGAAGTTATAAGAAATAATACAGGGAAATCCTGTGTACTCTTTACCCAGTTTTTCCCAATGTTAAAATATCTTGCAAAAATGTAGCACAATGTCACAACCAGGATGTTGACATTGATACAGTTAAGATACAGGACATTTATTTCCATCACTTCCAGGATTCCTCATTTGCCCTTTAAGCCACACCCACTCCCCTTCCTTAACCTCCGGCAACCACTAACTTGTTCTCCATTTCTATAATTTTTGTTTGTTCAAGAATGCTATATAAATGGAATCATACAGTATATAACCTTTGGGATTCACTGTTTTCACTCAGCATAATCCTCTGGAGATTCATGCAGGTCGTTGTACTTTGTATTGCAATAAAAGTGTGCAAAAAAGTGTGGATAAAATGAACTTATACTTTAATCATTCATCTGTTGAAGGATATTCAGGTTGTTTCCACTTTGAGGCTATCATGAATAAAGCTGCTATAAACATTCGTATTCAGGTTTTTGTGTGAACATAAGCCTTCATTTCCCTGGAATAAATACCCAGGAGTGCAATTGCTGGGTCCTATGGCAGTGGCATGTTTAGTTTTTAAAGAAACTGCCAAATTGTTTTCCAGAGTGGCTGCACCACATTACATTCCCACCAATAATATATGAGTGATCCAGTTTCTCTACATTCTCACCAGCATTTTTTGTTATTGTTTATTTTAGACATCCTGATGGGTATGTAGTGATATCTCATTGTGGGTTTTTTCATTGTGGTTTTAATTTGCACTTTCTTCGTGGCTAATTATGTTGAACATCTTTTCATATGCATATTTTCCCTGTGTATATCCTCTTCATAGAAATGTCTCATGTCTTTTGCCCATTTTCTAGTCAGACTCTTCGGTTTTTTACTGTTGAGATTTGAGAGTTCTTCATATATTCTAGAGACTAGTCCTTTGTCTGATATGTGGTTTGCAAATATTTTCTCCCAGTTTATATCTTGTCTTTTCATCCTCTTAACAGGGTTTTGTTTTGTTTTTTGGGTGAGGAAGATTGGCCCTGAGCTAATATCCGTGCCAATCTTTCTCTATTTTGTATGTGGGTTGCTGCCACAGCATGGCTTGATGAGCGGTGCAGAGGTCCTCACCCAGGATCCAAACCCATGAACCGGGGCCGCTGGAGCAGAGCGCACGAACTAAACCATCACGCTACTGGGACAGCCCCTTAACAGGGTAGTTTTGCAGAGCAAAAGTTCTTAATTTTGATGAACCAACTTAGTTTCTCGTTTTAAGGATCGTGCTTTTGGAGTCAAGTCTAAGAACTCTTTACTTAGCCCTAGACTCTGAAAGTTTTCTCCTCGATCCATTGTGAGTTAATTTTTGTATAAGGTGATAGACTTAGGTGGAGGTTCCTCCCAACGCCCCTGCTTTGGATGTCTAATTGCTCCAGCATCACATGATTAGATCTTTACTTTTCAAAGCAGTAAAGTAACGGATGACTCCTTGAGTAAGAGTCCAGCTCTTTAGCATGAGAAGCAATCTGAGCCTGACCCTGCTTCCCAAGGGACCTCTTGTGCTTCTCAGATACTCTTTGTAATACTCTACATAACATTTAAAGGCTTCAGTTTTTATCTTAAAATTTATTGGGTAAGGTATGGATATAATTTTATATTTTCTAGATGGATACTCAGTTGTCAACACCATTTATTGAATATTCTTTTCCTAATCTGAAATATCACTTTTTCCAATACTAAATTCCCATATCTGGACTTTACATTCTTTTCCATTGGTCTGTCCATTCATACACTGGTACACACATAAGTTTTTAAAGCTTTTAGTATTTTTTTAATAGAAGAGGCAGCCCCTTCCCCCTTCTTCTTTCAGTGTATTGGTTAAGTGGAGAGGCTCTGGAACCAGTCTACCTGGAATTAAATACTGGCTGCTAGTTGTGGCCTTGGGAAAGCTACTTAACTACTCTGGGCTTCAGTTTTTTTTTTAAAGATTTTATTTTTTATTTTTCTCCCCAAAGCCCCCCGGTATATAGTTGTATATTTTAGTTGTGTGTCCTTCTAGTTGTGGCATGTGGGATGCCTCCTCAACATAGCCTGACAAGCAGTGCCATGTCTGCGCCCAAGATCCGAACCAGTGAAACCCTGGGCCACCGAAGCGGAGCATGTGAACTTAACCACTCAGCCACGGGGCCAGCCCTGGGCTTCAGTTTCATCGATAAGAAGTGTTGATAAAAGTATCTACCACATAGAGTTATTGCAGTAAATGAACAGAGTGACACAGAGTAAGCACCATATGAGTGTATGTTATTTTGCTTGTTTACCATTATTTTTCCATATGAACTTTAAAATCCACTTGCGTATTTTCAACTTAAAAACTTACTGGTATTTTACTGGAATACTAAATTTATAAATTAATGTACGAATAGACATCTTTATAATATTGAGTTCCCCCATTGAAGAACATAGGATACCACTTTTCATCAGATTTGCAAAAATACTTACCCACCACTCTTCCACTTCCCCTGCTGTCACCTTAGCCCAATCTACCATCTTCCGGCAGGCTTATTATAATAGCCCCAAGTGTCTCCGATTCAATCCTTGCTCCTGTATAGTCTCTTCACTTATACTGCAACCAGAGTGATCGTTTAAAACTTAAGTCAGATTATGTCATTTCTCTGTGCAAAACCTTCCAACAGCTTCTCATCTCACTCAGAATCAACACCTGGAAGAGAACTGGAAACAGCAAGACCAACTTTTAGTTTATTGTGGAGAGGATGTGGGTTCAAGAGAGATGTGTTTTGTTTGTATGCTGACGAGAAATGATCTGAAAAACAGGAAAGTGATGAGGTAGGAGATGGAGGGAGAAGTGCTGGAGAAACATCCATGAGTAGGCCTCTAGTCATGCTTCCCTGCATCTTCCTCAGAGCCTTCCCTTCTCAACAGTCTAAGATACACATCTAATGATGCCCAACTCTCCTGTTTAAAACCCTTTTAAAAATGCCCCACTACTTTCTGCATAAAATTACAACTCAACCAGGCATACAAGATATCCTATTACTTGTTTTAAAATGTATGGAGCACCATATAGAAGAAGCGCTATGGTAGGTGCTGGTCAAAGTTAACAAAACAGGCATGGTCTCCACCCTCCTGGAACTTATGGTGTCGCTGGAAAGACAAACAAAGTAAGCTTGGGAAGTTTGCTATAGGACACAAAATACTAGGCAGAATTTAGATGCTGCTGGGGATGATTCAGGAGAAGGAAGGAGACCAATAAGGTAGTAGAGATACTAAGGAAAGAACCAAAGCCTTGAGAAATGAGAGGGGACGATGGGACCCCCTCATAACAATGTGCAGTGATTGAGTTTTGATAAGAGGGACCCTTCAGTTGTAACTGGAGAGAAAGACTGGGTGCTGAAGCACGTAGGTTTATAGATTTGATGGTGGGAAGATGAGTTCCATCATCTCATGGTTTCTCAATGATATATGAGGTAACGTCTTCAGTTGGATACAGAATATATTAAATGGTCATCTCAGAGCAGTAATATGAAGTCATACTTGTTGCCTCTCTCTCAATTCCTAAAGCTCCCTATTAGCTATTTCACTTTTTTTTTTTTTTTTAACAGATTGGCACTTGAGCTAACAACTGTAGCCAATCTTTTTTTTCTCCCCAAATCCTCCCAGTACATAGTTGTATATTTTAGCTGTGGGTCCCTCTAGTTGTGGCACGTGGGCTGCCACCTCAACATGGCCCAGCGAGCGGTGCCATGTCCACGCGCAAGATCCAAACCCTGGGCCTGAAGTGGAGTGCACGAACTTAACCACTCGGCCACAGGGCCGGCCCCGCTATTTCACATTTCTGAGATTGTGATTTGGTCTCATTACTTTCTGGCAAATTCCTACTTGTTCTTCCAGATCCATCTGGGCCACCACCACACCTGGTACCTACCTCACT